TACGCATAAGAGTTTACTTTTTAAAAATAACATATATGTCCAGGCCTCATCCCCAGAAATAATTTCAAGCTGAGCACAGCCATGTGTAGTTTTAGAGGGCACCACCAGGGGCGCCTGGGTGGCTCAGTCGTTAAGCGTCTGCCTTCAGCTCAGGTCATGATCTCAGGGTCCTGGGATGGAGCCCCGCACTGGGCTCCCTGCTCAGCGGGAAGCCTGCTTCTCCCTCTCCCTTTGCCTCTCCCCACCCACCCCGCCCCCGCTCATGCTCTCTCTCTTCTGTGTCTCAAATGATTAAAAAAAAAAATCTTAAAAAATAAAAAAATAAAGGGCACCAACAGCTTTTCTGATGCAGAGCCAGAAAGGGACCAAAACACTAGATGGGAGTTCTTCAATGACAGAGGCGATGTTGTGTTCATCGTGGGGCCTTGGGGTTCTTCCCTGAGCATGCGCAGAGTTAGAACACCATCCATGAGGAAGAATGAACTGAGGCAAGAGAGGTAAAAGGCCAAACTGAAGCATGACTGAAATGACAGGTTAAATACACACATATATACATACACACACTCCCACAGTATGCTAAAATTATAAAATGAGGATAAAAAAAGGAAAAAAGGCAAATCGACAAAATGAAAATAGTTTGTGCAGTAGAAAATTATGGAATTATAGTTAACTTTTTTCTTTTTTTTATTTTATAGAAACTTTTCCTGTATTTTATTTAAAAGTTGTATTTTTAAAGATTGCATTTATTTATTTGTGAGAGAGAGTGAAATAGCAAGAGAGAGCATGAGCAGGGAGGGAGGGAGGGAGGAGAGGGAGAATCAGGCTCTCCACTAAGCAGGGAGCCCGAAGCTGGGCTGGATCCCAGGACCCTGGGATCATGACCTGAGCAGAAGGCAGAGGCTTAACCGATAAGCCACCCGGGCGCCCCCCTCTCCCCCCATAATTGTATTTTTAGAGAGAAAAAATCTGCTGGTGAATAATCAACCAATATGTTTATATCTGGAAATGAACAGCAAATTTATAAGTAATCCATGTGGTGCATATGATTGGCACTGAAAAGATGGATTAGAACTGTAGTTTTGCTGACGATGTAAGAGGTCCAAATGAAAAAATGAGTGTAAGCTACCATACTCTTACCATATGACTCAGTAATTGTGCTCTTGGTGTTTAGCCAATGAATCACAAACTTCTATATACACAAAATCCTCACACAGATGTTTATAGCAGCTTTATTTATGATTGTCAAAACTTGGAAGCCACCAAGATGTCTTTCAGTAGGTGACTGGATAAACTGGGATACATTCAAAAAATGGAATATTCTTCAGCACTAAAAAGAAATGAGCTACCAGGCCACAAAAAGGCAAGGAGAAACATTAAATGCATATTACTAAGTGAAACAAGTCAATCTGAAAAGACTACATATAGTATGATCCCAACTACATGACATTCTGGCAAAGCAAAACTATGGAGACAGTAAAAGATCAGTGAGTGCCAAGGGTTAAGGGGAAAGATGGGATGGGCACAGAGGATTTTTAGGGCAGTGAAACTACTCTTTATGGTACTACAGTTGTGGATACATGTCATTACACGTTTAACAAATCTATAGAACGTGTAACACCAAGAGTGAATCCTTATGTAAACTAAGGACTTTGGGTGATAATGATGTGTCTTCATAGGTTCACAGATTGTAGCAAATATAGGACTATGGTGTGGGACATAGACAGAAGGGGAGGTTGTGGGTGTGTGGGGTCAAGGGGAAAATGGGAACTCTCTCTGCTCTCTGCTCAATTTTGCTGTGAACCTAAAACTGCTCTAAAACATAATCTATTTTTTTATAAAATTAGTTTATGCGGGATTCTAGATGAGGTCGCCATAGTCTTTGAAGATCTTGCTGTTCAAAATGCACATTCAGGGGCGCCTGGGTGGCTCAGTCAGTTAAGAGTCTGACTCTTGATTTCTCCTTGGGTCATGGTCTGGCTGTTGTGGGTGGAGCCCCACCAGGAGCCCCATATCCTGCTCTGTGCTCAGCGGGGAGTCTGCTAGAGGTTCTCTCTCTCCCTCTCCTGCTGCCCCTCCTCCCCTACTTTCATGCACACGCACTTTCTTTCTCTTAAATAAATAAATCTTTTTAAAAACGCACATTCAGTGGTCCATCACTTTGAATGACAGTATGATAATTAAAGAAAAAAATCAAGTAATGCTTATTCAATACAATTATTTAATTTTTAGACAATAATGAAAAATATATTTTTGAAACAGTTTAGGGGAGAACAGGAAATTATTAAATTTAGGATCAATATTAATGATACTGAATCCATGTTAGAGAAAATTAATATATATCTATAGTTTAATAATGTTCAAGAATTTAAACAATTAATTGAATTTTGTCAGGGGAAACTGGAAGGGAGACAATTTTTGTCAGTAAGGAAAAATTTTAAGCCGCATATTTTAATCATCATAAACTGCCAGGGATTTCAATATTTTAACAGATTCATTTAGCTCTAAATGTCTTCAAGCATGCTATAAATCCTCCAGAGGCCCTGCTTTGTAATATAGCCTTTTAACATATTCATTGTCTCTTTCCAAGATAAGTTCACTATTGCTATTCCATTAGTCTGTTTTGTGATTTATTTCAAAGATGAAATGAGTATCTTCACTTTTAATTCATGACTATTTAATCTTGATTTTTAAATCAAAATTTGATGATAATTATCATCTATTAAAATGCATTCTTTCCCCCTTCTTGTGCATTTTTCCTCTTGACAGTAAACCTTACATTCTGACATCGTTTACATCGTTAAAAACACTTTATCAGTAATTGTATCTAGACGTATTCCCTTTTATTAACTCAGTTTCTTAATAGACTCTTAATAATCAGCACTGAGCATTTTTAGATGTAGGAAAGATTCTATTGGTGCATAATAAGAAAGTGTTGGATTTGCCAACCTGGTTTCTCTTTTTCATTTTACCCTTCCCCTAATCCTGATAGTTTCATAGATTTTACAGGGTAAATTTACACATAACCCCACAATATAATGGAATGTTAGCTATGTGTGGTATGCTGCCAAACAGAGGTCCATTACCCAATGTTGAGACCGAAGCCATCTTTAGAAGATAAGGCATTTACAAGAGGCTTGGTAAATATTAAAACCATAAGAAATTATGCCAGAGAAGAATATCTGTGGCAAAAATATAAGTAAACAGTTCTGCTTCTCTGATCCTTAGCTTCACCATCAATAAAATGAAAATAAAACACATTTACTTCCAGAACTGCTGTGATGATTAAGTTGGAAAGTATGAGTAAAAATTCAGGGGCACCTGGGTGGCTCAGTTGGTTAAGCGACTGCCTTCAGCTCAGGTCATGATCCTGGAGTCCCGGGATCGAGTCCCGCATCGGGCTCCCTGCTCGGCGGGAAGCCTGCTTCTCCCTCTGACCCTCCCCCCTCTCATGCTCTCTCTCTCTCAAATAAATAAATAAAATCTTAAAAAAAAAAAAAGAAAGAAAATTCAGTATCAGTCATAAAGTACCATATAAATATTGGAGAGCAACATAATTAATAATTTTTCATCTCAGAATTATAAGAGAAATTTAGGCAGGCAAAGCACTTAGAAGAGGAAAACACTGGCTACATGCCCAAGACTTGAATGAAAGTGAGACTTCTGTATGTGTATAAATCCTTTTATCCCAAATTCTTTGTATTATGTGTGACTGGCTGGTTTGGTACCATGAAACATAAAAATAGTACAGCCTGTTGAAAATTCCAAAACAAAGAGAAGAGCCAAGAAAAGAATATGAATAATTTAATCAGATAGTAGTCAAGGTTATCCCCAGCTTATTTGCCTTTTATTCTCTTAATTTCAGTTAGTTACATATCCATCTGTTATCGCCAAGGTTGTGCATGCACCTTGAAATGTTCACAAAAGGTCCACGATACAGAGGTTCATAATTAGGTTATATGTTATATTCAGAATCCCAGGGGAACTAATCGATTCTGGAAATACTGATTAAGCAAGATGAAGAATTCTTACACAGTTTCGACTACAACAATTTTAAAGACAAGTACAAGTTTCGTTTGCCACAAAACTCACAAAAAAGTAATTGATTGAAGAATATCTCTTTTATGCAAAATATACATTTTAGGATATAATTTGATTAATACTCTACTATATACTGACATTACTCCTTGATCATTTAATAAAAAAATACTCTCATCGCCAGAATTTTATTTTCTGTAATATTTATAATTGAGGTAACGATGACAAAGGACTTAAACCCATGAATAATGTTGGTGAGTTTTTTCTTAAAGTCATAATGATTTTCCAGAACTAAACATACATGTGACAAAAAAACAGGTTAGTTTTGATAAATAGGCACTAAAATTTCACAACAAAGACAAGCTGATAACATAAGTGGTTTACAAAAAAAAAAAGATACAGTCAATATTCATGGATTCAAACAACAAAGGAGAAAGAAGGGAGATTAGGACACGTCTATACTACACCAATATCACTGCCTTGTATGATTCACAGCACGATCTACTGCAGGCCCCCGAGGGGCAATTCACAGAGGTACGGGCCTTACTTGAAGCTTCAGAGATATTGGTCATGGACTTGGCGTCCTTGGATGTGAGATGGCTGATGCTGTCGACCCATGCCCACGTGTTGGTGTTCACAATTGTTTCACAGCTACTGGCCAGTCCACAGCAGACCACTCATATGGGGAGCACCAAATGCGTTCCAGCCACAGTCCTTTTCTAGCTTTAAATGCCTCGCAAAAACGCAGGGACCTCTTCCAAGTGCTACCTGGTCGCATCAGGGCACATTCAGCAGCAGAAGTCTGTTTCCGGTACAGTCCTTGGTGTGGCTAAATCCCATTGTCCCTTTTTCAGCAGTCAGAAATCCATGACAGATTCTGTACAACACTGTAGTCAATAATAGCAGCACCAGACGGTATATTAATTCCTTTACCACAACGCCATACGTCATTATAACTTCCTAAGTGTGGTCTTATTAAAAGGATCACTGAATCTCTAAATATCAGATGTGTACGTCTGGGTAAATCCGTTGCTGTACAAGATCTCTGACATGCAGTTCATGCTTTAGGACTTAGGGATAGAGAGTAAGAGGTGTTATGTGGCCAATAATAAAAATGACATTTGTCTTCCTAACGAAAAAAAAAAAAATAAACATGAGAATTAAGGGTTAATCAACAGTCTCAAGGATCCTGAATGCCTTAGAAATATTGTTTATCCCTCGATTTATATTATGGCATTTTTCTTCCCTCACGCGCCCAATACACCAGACACACTATCGCAAGTGCATTCACAGGGATGTTGTAAACAGAATTTCTTCCACTTGGACTGAACAAAACTCCCTCGCGGTTTTGCTGGAGTGTAGTGATGAATGCTGGTTGCTAGGTAGTAGAAACTGACAGTGCAGCAAGCAACCAATGTGATGGTGACACTGCTGCTTAAATCCTGCTTATCAAAAAAGGTTCACAGTACCGATTAGCTTAGGTAGTCTACAGGGCGTCATTCATTTGTACACAAAGCAGAGAGGCTGTTCCAAAGAGCGGAGAAGGCCGGGGCAGGGGAGAGGACCCAGGACTAAAATCGTGAACATCTTATCAAGGCATTTCTGTGCTACATGAAGACAGATGGCATATACATATAAGACAGGGAGCTGAGACAGACAGACAGAAAAACATACAGGACAAAGCACCTGGTTAAACACTGCCTGAAAATCTGATCAATCCTGTGAGTCAGAAATTTAAGGCTGGTCAAAAAAAGCCTCCTGTGAACCATGATAATCTTTGAGGTTTGCACAAAAATCAATAAATAAGAATAAAGGAAGGGGGTAAAAAGAAAAGTGACATGAGAGCTTTGGGTGATATTTGGCACTTTGCCTCTGAAAATGATGACAAATCCTGGGATTAAAAAATATATATATATATATGACTCTAGTACCAAGCAGCAATTCGTGGCTAAACAATGCAAGCCTGGCCGGCAGTTACCTTTCTCTCATGTTTTGTGCCTTCCCCAAGCCATTAAGTAAGAGCTCTGGCCTCAGCTTGCGTGTAACCAGTAATGACAACCTCTTTGCAGTTATCTGTGTGCAAACAACCAGAGACATTCAGAACTCCAATACAGCATTTTTGAAGAAAAGCAAATCAATCAAGAAATTAAACTAGTTAAGACAAATATTTCTTTCAAAGAATAAGGAAAAAAAAAATGCCAAGGAGACACTCGCCCTCCCTGCCCCACAATTCCACGTGCAGAACAGTTGACCAGGGCTTTCATATCAGCAGGATGGTTCGATGCAAGTACACATATCCTGAGCCATCCACAGTCCCCGGACTCTGTGACATTGCTTTCAGGTGATAGAGACAAGATGGTCCATGCAAATGAGCTGACCAGAGTCATGTCGTGTGCAATCAAGAGAGGATCCCAAACATCTTCAAAATGGTTAAGAGTCACGAGAAATGAAGGTCCAATGAAGTGACTGGCATTAGGAAGCACACTGTTCTAAATGTATCTCCCTGAAGATATGTTTATGTATTAGTGTACTGGCCAATAGCTGACACTATCTGTCATTTTATTGCGAAAGAAGACCAGGGCGATTAACATGGAGAAGTAGCACTACTTTAGGTCATCTTTAAAGCCAGGATAAGATTTGTTAGCTACCCAAGTGGCATTTCTGACTTCAAATAGTAGTATCATGCAGGATTTAAACTGTATTTAATGGAGCCTGGAGTAAGTCTACATTTAATTATCTCCATTATGGGGTAGACAGTACTTGAATTCATACAATTTAGCCGACTGATGCAGTTTGGTTTACAAAATAGATGGGATGGGAGATCGAGAGCGCCTCAGAGGACAAGGAGAGTTGTAGGGTGATGTTACTGGAGAGAGCCTCAGAGCATTGCCTGCCAAGCCCGCTATGTTGTTTAAGCTTCGGGATTTTTCATATCCTTTTATGAAAAAAGGCACAGACATCAGTTGAATTCAACCAGAAAATAAACATAGACAAACAATACCATGCAGGATAATCAAAAGTGCTATTTTGAGTTCAAGGAATAATCTTTTTTTTTTTTTACAAAGAATTCAATATTGAGACCATTTGTAACTTAAAAAAATAATAAAGCTCACTAGCGCTGTCATTCCCAGAAGATTAAACCAGCTATCACAAATTATAGTTGTACTATTTCAAAATTTATTCTTTCCCAAATTATATTTTGCATTGATGTCATTTTGGCATAAATACTAGAAATCTTTTAAGAATTAGGCAAAGCAACTTAAGTAAGATATAAATTTGGCTAATATTTTTACATTTCAGAATATGCTTCTGAAAAAAAAAACAAGTGGGCTGTTTTTTCTTTTCATTTTTTGTTATTTACTAAGCTAATAAGCAGGATTAACTTTAAGTGGATGACTTTTTTTCTCAAGCATATTTAATCTGCCAGCTTTACAGTATTAAAAGGATGATTCTCAAATAATGGCATTGGATGCCATTATCTAGGCAATGTGGAATGAATGCCCATTTCTAGTTCCTGGGATTAAAAAAAAAAAAGGAAAGAAAAAAAAAAGAAATGAAATGAAATATAAGTTGAGTCATAATTCAGTGAATTAGAGTCTGAACTTGGTTATCTGATGTTTTCAGTTGGCTCTCCACTGCCAGGAATTGAGAACTATTTGATCTTGATTCACTTTTTCTTTCTATCATCTCGCATTCTAATCATTCGTGTGTGATAGTCATGGATTTACAGACTAAAAGATCCATCTCACAAGCTTTAACCCAGTGGTTTTCCTTAGCCACTCAAGCAACATCCTCATCAAGGTCACCTTTGGAAGGACTCATATACTGTAGTACTAGTTATTAGAAAAGATGAGAGGTGGTTAAGTGGGGTGGATGGCACACTGCAAAGTTAGAAGTGAACTGTCTTAAGAGCAGGACAACCATTGACTGAGAAAGTAGCCAGGAAATAAATGTTCTGACAGGCCCACTGAAAAAAAGCGTTGTAGAACCAGGAAATGAAATTCTCTGTTGGGCAGTTAAAGCTGAGCAAGGACATCCAATTTCAGTGAACTTTGTTATCCCTTAGACTTAGGGCACATTCCTTTGGCTCCTAGCGGCCCTCAGTGTGCATGATGACTATCTGAGAAAGAAAATGGGCCTTTTGTGCTTCCCCATGTTCCTCTCAACGACTTCTTTTTCTAATTCTCTATTTTCATGGACTTCTGGGGAAGAAGCTAATACTCTCTCTCCTCCTTTCACTAGAAAAGGAGAAATTAAGCGAGTTAGTGACTATTTGATTTATCAGGGCCCAGAGACCAGGATGGACGTGGGTTGCAGTAACTGGTCTACTGTGGGGTGAAGCTGCACTGAATAGGAACATCCCTCCCCACACACACATAAACTTTCAGCATGCTTGATGTCCTCTCTGAGATTTTTGTAGATGGAAATTTATGCCATTCATTAACCATAGTAAGGTTCTCTAGGACATAATTTCTGCTAACGAGAGAATTTTCCGCCAATATGTTTTGTTAGCATTCAGAGATAAAAAAACGCAGGAGGTGATATATGTTTCATCCTATTCCAGTGGATGATGGAATACTTAATAAGATGATGTCTTAGGGGCGCCTGGGTGGCTCAGTCATTAAGTGTCTGCCTTCGGCTCAGGTCATGATCCCAGGGTCCTGGGATCGAGCCCCACATCGGGCTCCCTGCTCAGTGGGAAGCCTGCTTCTCCCTCTCCCACTCCCCCTGCTTGTGTTCCCTCTCTCTCTGTGTCTCTCTCTGTCAAATAAATAAATAAAATCTTAAAAAAAAAATAAGATGATGTCTTAAATAATTAAAAAAGAATTGCAGATAATTTATCCTTACATAGGGACCTCCGTGTGCCTGGAGAGCTAGGTGTTACTGCTCTTCTCTAAAGTGATTGGAAATATAACTTGGGGAATTATAGGAAGATTTATCCTAGTTGACCATGTAATCTAAAGATGCAAACTACACTATAAAGATTGATTTGGTTTGATTAAAAGTAAACTGGTGAATATGCATGAACCAGAGAGGTTGTTAACACTTATAAATCATTCATCCTTACAAAAATTTACATTTTGTCTCCCACAACCTCTAAGCTCCCAACAGGACCTCCAAAAGGTAAAAGTTTTCTTGACAGTTTTCTATCAATTACACTAGTTATATGTAAATCTTGGTTGCCATTCTAAATGTTCAATTATTTTTCTGAATTACAGTCTTCAACATAAATATTACCCATTCTGTTTATAAGTCCTTTTATTTTTAATAATTATAATTTCAGTGTTCATTTGAAAAGACTTCCCTTCTAATTTAATAACAAGTATTTAATTAGTAAAATTATAAGTTATTCTTTTAAAGAATGTATTTTTTTTATTCTGCAGGTTCATTTGTGATAGAAAATTTGATAAGGTTTTCGCTTAAGCAAATTTTTATTGAGTGGAATGGTTAAAAATATAATTTATGAGAATAAACAATATTGAACCTAGTTGGAATCGACATCCAAATACATGGTGCACAGAGCATGTGCTTATTTGGGGCAATACTGAAACTGCTTATCCATGCACTATCAGTGGGTATGTTTTTGTGTATGAAAGATGATTTCCTAAAAACTACTGCATAAATAAAAACATAGGTTCCAAGTATTGAGAGTTCACTCTCATGGGGAATCCATAAATTTTATTACTGTATGCCCAACTATATTCATATTTGTTGATAGAAAAAGAATTCAGTAGGAATCTGGTAATTGCTTTTCATCTATATAGGGGAGAATTTTCAGAACTCTAAAAATCAAATCAGTAGAGAGACCAACTTGAAAGATAAAAAAGGTATCATGTAGGAAATATGTCTGACTAAGAATAGGAGAAATCTATAATCTACATAAAAAGGAACAAGAGAAGAAATGAATGGGTTCCTGATAAACATAACAAGACAACACACTAAGAAAATTAAGTGAAATTAACTAAAAATGCTACAAGGCCTGGGAGAAAAAACACAAGGTGTAAAGTAATTAAGCAAGAATGAAAAAGAAATTTGATTAGGGTGAGAAATGACAAAGATTAAAAGCCCATAGATGAATTTTCAAAGATATGTTCATTGATAAACAGAATTTTGCATTTGTGAAATAAGATTTCATGTATAACTTCTCTATAGAAACTAAATATCTTATTAATTGCTTTGCTCATGAAACTTTGCCTTTTTACAGAAAAATTCTATATTTACATAGTGCTTTATAATTTACAAAGTATTTTTTCTTATGTGATCATCTTTGACAGTTTAAAATCCAAAGTATTGTTTAAGAGTGGAAGGAAAAAATTTTAGCTAAGTTCTTAAACATGCAGCGTTAGTATAAATATTGCATGTGATAATTTATTAAGTGATGCTCAAAAATGTATGTGAATGTAACCACGTATTACATATAAATACATATATACGTATAGTGAGTAAAGATACGTAATGTACTTAAAATATAATGTTCTATACAAGAAATTATTAGTTACATATTATAATCATTATTTATGTATGTATATATATTTTGTTTAAGTACTATGATAGGACATTAACTATCTTCATAAAATATTTTAAAAATTGTTCTAGCACTTAATATTTAAATGTAAAATAGCAAACAACCAAATAAATCTATTCAGATCATTGAAATACATTTTGTGCAAATAATAGATGCTGAGGAACAGAAGTAATTGAAATGAAGAAGTATGTAAAATATTACATACTGAAGAAAGAAAAGAAGAATCTGTCTTCTCTTTTGAGACTCAAAGGCATGGAGACAGAAAGGACAATACAAAGTGTTCAGAAGCAATGAAAGAGAAGTACAATATGGGTAATGAGACATTTCAAAGAGAAGACATCACAAAATAAATATTTAAGGCTTAAAATGTTAAAGTATTCAATAGGGAGAAACTACAATGAATAGCAAAAAAAAGTGCAGTATTTTTAATGCAGTTGCACTAATATGAAAGTTTCGGAGTGGCTTTTCATTAAAATTCAGTCCATTAGATAAGAAATTATTATAGTTCTTTCTCTATTTGGTCAATAAGCAGAGAAAGAGAACCATGGCAATAAAGCAACCGGAATTATCAAAGTAGGAGGTAATCAAAGAGCATATCAGCCCTTGGACAAGGGTGGGTAATAGACGTCACAAAGTTCCTAAAGGAGGGAAAAAAGGGTCCAATTGTCCTGAGATCTGTCAAGTTTACGTAAAACAAAAACAAAAAATAGTATCTAGGGAACAGTCACAGACGGTGTCATCATCTAGAAAATTGGAAGGACATGATGGAGTGGAGATTCAATATTCTGTTATATTTCTTAACCAGTATGCCTACCCAACAAAATTTATTCATTCAACAAACATTTATTGTCTTCTGTGTGCCAGGCACAGTTGAGTGTGGGTTGAAAACAGTAATAAACGTAAAAGTATTATTATTGCCTCAAAAAGAAATTCTGTAGCACAATTTATAAGTATATAAGTAGCCTTTCAAGTTATGGGGTATACTATTCTATATGGCCAGGGATGTTGGACCTTTTGGTCTTCTGACATTCAGATAATTCATGGCAAAAACTGCATAAATACTGGATAAGAGACTTAATTACAGTGTGTTTAAAACTTTTCTTTGGGGGAAAAAAAAGCCTTATTGTTTTATCAATTACTTATCAAATATATGCATAGAATCAATTAGTGAGTTTTATTACCTGTAGTTAAAAAGATAACTTTTAAGGACTGTTGAGTACATTATATTAAAGAAATTAGCTGAGTGACTTAATTTTTAAATACCCCATTACAATTCTTCCCATAGACTAAGGGAAACCAAAACTATAAAGAAAGAAATAAGGGTGAAATGCCTTTCAGATAGGACAATCAAGTAGGCTGTTATGATATGCACTTTAATGTTTATAATGAGAAAAGAGGTGATGAGGAATGCAAGAGAACATTGCATGCAGGCTTTCCTAGAAAATGACGAAAAAGCATTTATATCACTCCGTATATTTGTAGCACTTAATTTCTAAGTCACCTGTTAGGAGCTGATTAAATTGCATGCCTACCTTTCCTGATCCCTCCATCAGAAGCACACGTGTAATCACCTGTCGTCAGTAGGAAACATGTTTCCCCTCTTCTGTTTTTGTCTCTGGTACTAGAGCGTCTGATGGGGAGCCTTTCTGGGGGTGATAATGGCGGCTCACTTCCTGTACTGTCGTCACCTGATAACACTGGTCACAGCACCATGCCCATTGACAGACAGTGATGGATGAGGAAATGAGACAGTACAAAGAGTTTACACGGAATGTCCATAGTACAGTCACTCGATATACAAAACACAATAATCACATCATGGTAAGAAAAAGGGTTTTCATCACTCATTACAAAAATTTACATGGAGCAAAATGGAAATGTGTTGAGGAGAGAAATGTTCTTTGGGAAGTTTTAATTGCATTTTGGATTCTACCTAACAGGAAATGGACTTTCACAGAACTAATATAAACTCAAAATAAGTGTGATAATGACGTAGCACACACATTAATATCTTACGATTTTTGACATGCTATCTAGTTATTGTGAATAAGAATCTTTAAAAGTGGAACCTATTTAAGGAAAAACTCCTAGGTACGTATTTGGTTTGGGAGTTCTTTAAGACACATGCTTATAATATTTGCAGAAAGCAACTTTCCAAAAAAATCTTAATAAAAATAATCCCAAAACTCACTTTGTGTCCAGGGTCTCCTCTGAAGTGAAAAGTATTTTTGAGCATAACAGTGGAATAAGATTAACTTCTCCAAATGTGCCCTTGAAACAACTGTTTACTTCTATATGCTTGCCAAAGACGTCTGCATCCTATTGGCCTAGATGCTAGCTTGTTATAATAATATTTATTTACCCAGGCTGAGAGTGTGTCCTGTTTCTCATGCCCTTCACAAGGACTATGCACAGGTACTCTGAGAACAGCCCGATGAGACTAGCAACACCAACTAAACTCCACCTTTCATAAAGACATTCTTTGCCTTATAGTTTTCAGATATATTGACAGAATTTGCAGAACAATGTACTAAGTAAGCATAGGGATCTTTATGAATAAAATCTTTAAAAAGCAGTTTAGTTCCAGCCACATTTTTTTCCCATTTACTTTGTATAAACTTCTGGAAGCTAATGAAGGAACCTATGAAAATGTTACCTGCCTTTTTTGTTTGTTTGTTTGCTTGTTTTGTGTAATTGGTGTTATTTCAAAATCATGTGAAAGTATTCACATGGGATTACCATAAGTCACTTTTCTACAAGAAAAAGATTAAATATATCTACGTTATAGGGAATGCACATATCTTAAATTTTCAGAGTGGGCTGAAAGGTAATTAAATCATTCAATCTATAAAATATTTCATCTGTACCAGACACAATAGAGTAGAGAGCACATTACTGACTATCATTGTGGCAAAACGAACATTAATTTACAGTCAGTGTCCTCCAGATTAACTATGGCAATGGAGAGGGGTAGGGATTCAGTAGTAGATCACCCAAAATTCAGTTTGGGAGGGGAACAGAGCCCAATGCATGGTGTGTAAAAAAGGAAATCCACAGGGAAGTTCAACTTTGCCATTGATAAGACAAAGCAGATCATCTACCTCCAGGAAAATGGTGAATTTATTATATTACATAGCATCTTACCCAATCTAAAGGTATTATACTGAATATCCTAAGTTAATAATGAAAATTTAATCAATCCTCTAGAAAATTGCTAGGAATGACTTTTATTATCAAAAAGGCTATCTTCCATATCACCTTTTTGGTGTTCAGGCCATTGAAATATAAGCATCCATTCTTTTTAAGTAACTGCTTCTTGTGAAATAGGTTGAGATGCATGGGCCCACGTGGCAGAGATAAAACTGAGACAAACACACCAAGCCAAATGATAAGGAAATCAACATTTCGAGAATGAAAGATGGAAAATGGTCAGTATCATACCATCACATCGTGCAGGGGAACAAAGAAACATTGGCACAAAAGCAACAAACAGGCAAAAGAAAATATTGGCACCATCAGCAAAGGGCATTCCCACTAAAGCAGGAAAACTCTATAGACCAGCTATGCAGGCTTCTACTTGGAATCTTACTGAGAAAAGCTACAGTCTAGCTGTCTACAAGCCTGACACAAACACATGTACTGTGAAGGGGTAGAACTGAAAACTCAGGAACATTTGCAGACGATGAAAATGGTTGCCTTCTACCTGAGGGACATACTGGTCTATAAAGTGTTTAGTGGCATGCATTTGAAATTGTGCCTTACCTGATCTGTTATGTTCCAGAAGCCGATTGTCTTTGCCCAGACACGTGTCACCCTGCGTGCTGTTGCAGGCCATATTTAATTCTGTCTTGCAAAAAGTAGGTGAGCTTGCCTGAGGGGCAGGAGGGATGTGCTTCTTTCTTTTTCTTGGAAGTTTCTGCTTCGCCATTGCCAAGGAGTAGTACATTCCAAAGTTGTTGACAATGACAGGCACTGGCATGGCTATTGTGAGCACTCCAGCCAAAGCACACAGGGCTCCCACCAGCATCCCTGACCATGTTTGGGGGTACATATCCCCATAGCCCAAGGTAGTCATGGTCACTACAGCCCACCAGAAGCCAATTGGAATGTTTTTAAACTGCGTGTGCTCACTAGCTGAAGGGTCGTTAGGTTGAGCTCCTACTCTCTCGGCATAGTAGATCATGGTAGCAAATATCAAAACTCCTAGAGCCAGGAAGATTATCAGCAGCAAAAATTCATTAGTACTAGCTCGAAGAGTGTGTCCAAGCACCCTCAGACCTACAAAATGGCGGGTGAGCTTGAAGATTCTCAGGATCCTCACAAATCTTACCACCCTGAGGAAGCCAAGTACATCTTTAGCAGCTTTGGATGACAGCCCACTGAGTCCCACCTCTAAGTAGAAGGGTAGGATGGCCACAAAGTCAATGATATTCAAGAGATTTTTGATGAATTCAAGTTTATTAGGGGAAAAAATGATACGGACTAAAAATTCAAAAGTAAACCACACCACACACACTCCTTCTACATACGTCAAGGCAGGATCCGTTTCGATTTCATATTGCAGAACAACACTTGTGCCATTGATGACTGGTTCTGTCTTGTTTTTAACAATATTGAAAGCTTCATGTGTTTCCAGGCAAAAGGTTGTGATTGAAACCAGGATGAAGAATAAAGAAGCAAAAGCAATAAACTGTAGGGGGAAAAGAAGAAATAAAAAAAAGAAACAGAGAGTGATCTGAACTATAGTATACTTTGATCCAAATCTAAGAGCATCGATCCCTGCAGATGAAAAAAAATAAAAACATATTTGGAAATTTTGCTTGGGATGTCACTCAAGTGAAAGAAGAGATGCGTAGGTATCATTAATTAGAGTTGCACATGTAATGCGTTTCAAGTTCTGTTTTCTGCTTATATAGGTAAAACCTTTTGCTTTATGTTGGAAAATAATTTCTTGACTCTTTTGAATAAGAAAATATACCTGTTAAGAGAGCATAACAATCAATCCAAAACAATGTTAAAGGGCAACAGACTGAAAAAAAATAATAAATGTACACAGTGGCTCCAGATATTGTTTCTGATCCTACAAATCTTCATGTATTAGATCATGTTTTACATCTATAAATATAAGGTGCAGTCCACACTGATGAAAATTTGGAAGCCACATGCATTTTTAACCATAAATAAAATGTTCAAGTTGTTATGAGGTATGAACATGAAAAAAATTTTTTTTGAGTTATGTTACAGTTAAATTGTATCAACTTAAGGTGGAGACTTGTCCAAAAGAACCATCTAGAGATGAAGAGTAGGCAACAAGACTGAAGACAGAGAAACAGAATTAAGGAACAAATTAAAAGACAGTTTTCTTTCTCACCTGAAAAAGAACTCCAAGTGTTAGAGGAAAATGCTATAAAACTGTAGGGTTTCTTTTTTATTCAAGTTTTTATTTCATTTCTTCAGTCAATAATATGTGAATACACACATCTACTAACACAGAATAATAATAAAAGCTCTCACTTACATAGTTCTTACTAGTGCCAGACACTCATAAAAGCAAATTACATAATTAACTCATATCAATACTCATAACAGCACTATGACTACCATATTTTACAGTTCTGCAATATTCACACAGAAATTAAGCTACTTTTCCAAGTCATAAGACACAAAGTGATAGAACTAAGACACTAACCTGACAAGTTTCGCCCCCAGTTGTTTTGTTAACTACCAAACTCTTGCATGTTGAACACAAATATGTTGAAAAATTTATTTATCTTGGGGTCGCATACTTCTTAATATTCAAGATCTGAAAACTTAACACCCAGTTTGAGTGAATGGTACTGTTGCAGACGGTACCAGAGGCTTCCAAAGAAGTCAGCAGATTCCTAGTGCTCTCTGCTAATGCTCTCAGATTTAGCACGCGTAATGAGCGCCAAGAGATTGCCTCTTGAATATCCAAATTAAGTAATCATTTAGGAGCAAGAGGTCATCAGTCAGGTGCAGGATAGCCCTTTTCAGAAATAATAGGGTGTATCCAAATCTCAAACCTGTCCCCTAATACCTATTCCTCATCAAGCCATTGAAAAGATCTAAGTTTCAAGAAGAGATTGAAAACTACCTCATTTTTTCCTGGTAGAGTTTCAATGTAAGCGATATACAAAAGGATGAAAAAAATCTCAGGATGGTGATTATCTGCCTTAAAGAACCACCTCAAATTCTGAAGTTGTTCCTATGCAATGTAGCAGTGAGTACATTGTTCATATAGTATTATACAGCATGCCATTTTTATGGCTTTGACTTATTTCCCCATGCATATCTTCCCATTTCCTTTGGTTTTGACATTATGGTTTCACTAATATCTTTCCCAGACATAATGCAAGATGTTAACATGTTCTCACTCAGCTTTCTCTTTGTACAAATAAATATATGGTTCTGTTAAAATCAACTACTTGTCGTAACAGGATCGTTAAGACCTTTTAGATACTTTAAAAGATGATATCTTTCGGAGGAAGAATCAATTATCCTTGATTCATGCATTACTTCTTAATCGGATCACAATTTTATCTATAGATTTGAGAGTCACCTTTGTTTCTGATTCCCCCTGAAATCTTTTTTTGTCTTTAGAGCCCTCCTGGTGTATATATATTGACTCCCCCACCAAGCGACTCCCCACACTCTAGTCTCCAGCATTTCAGACTGAGTGTCAAAAGTTTTAGTGCACACATTCTATCTATGAGGCAGGTACAGAATACTAGGCAGTTAAAGTAAGCTGCAATTTTATTTTATGCTTCTAGTGTTCTTCAGTCAGCATTTTTTCAGCTAACTTTGCAGTCTCAAACTCTGTCCACCCACATTCATGTAGTGAATTGATTGGGACTTCCCAGCATTGCTCTTCCAGAATCTGTTCTAGCTTCCCAGCCTACCTCTCATACAACAAAGACAATTTTCGAGTGTACTTTGATGCTTGTCAACACAAAACACTGGGATCTTTTCCGATCGTACATTTTCCTACTCTTCATTTATTCATTCAGCAAGTACGAATTAGGTGCTTCTCTATGCCAGGCCACAGGATGAGGGCATTAATGTAACCGTAGTTAACAAAACACTGTGCCTGTGTTTGAGTAATTCACAATCTATTAGGGACGCAGGCATTAAATAATTAACCACACAAAAATTATATAATTACAATTGTGATAAATGCAATGAAGGATAGAAAGGATCAAAAAAGGGGGGCTTTATTTTAAGACTGAGGTGTCATAGAAACCTCTGACAAAATAACTGCAGACTGAAATTTGAGGGATAAATGAAGGTTGACCCGATGGAAAGGGGAGACTGGTCTATAGCACAGTAGGAAGTTTTAACAAAAAGTCTGGACTTTTTCCATCTCACTTTCTCAAGTGATGCCTTTACTGAAACACCACAGGAGAAGCAGGTCCTTCCAAATCTGCCTCTTCTGCACGAATTGTCATGATTAAAGCCCAACCTAGCACAGAGACCCTGACTTTTTCGAAGTTAACCTCTTTTTCTGAAGAGCTATAAATAAACCAGAAATATTACCTGGGTTTTAAAATGAGGCTGTAAGGTGACTTTAGAGCAGTTTGGTTGCTGATGGTAGACTTTAGACTTGTTGGCCTATTGGGAGAGTGATAGAATTCACTTATCTTAAATTATTGTATCAGCCCCATTGTTTGGAATGCAGTAAAAAGAAAAGATATATGTTAACGTGGTTTTTAATATAAAGCACTATGTAAACACTAGAAATCATTATTATATATATTTTAGTATACTTTAAAAATATATCATTAGTATCTCAATGAGAACTACTAGAACCTGACGTTTATGTTCATTAAATGAGTTATTATGTTGTCAGAAAAAGGTCAAGAGAGTCAGAAGGTACCACCACACTTGGTGGTTGGAATTTAAGTAACATGAATCATCTTGTTAAACTGCCCATTTTGCCCACCCATATACCTAGAAAAGGAGTTTGGTCATATTTATTAGAACATACCTGGAGAGCTTACACAAATGTGAATTCCTCACTGTCCACACCAGATATCAGACACAGATTCTTTTGTTTGGGGAGAAGGAATTTGCATTTAACAAGCATTCATGGTGATTCCTATACATACTAAAGTTTGAAAAACACTGTTTCACTGTGTTTTCAACTTGATAATACAAGGTTGATAACTCATTATTAAATGAATTGGAGAAGTTTCTAAATTACAAGCATTTGTAGAATCTTCCTAAACCTTAATAAAAATAGTTCACTACCTCTTATATTATAGGACGTTTGTGCCTGTGTGCGTGAGTGTATGTGTGTCTTTGTGTGTGTGTTGTGACATAATTCTGGCTTCTACACAAGTATTGGTGAGTAAACAAAGCAACTCAGCCTCTCTCTATATATAATTCTAAGACACAAAACTTTGAAAATCAAAAGTTGTCTGTTTTTACAAGTCACTTGGAACTTGAATTTATCAATATTTTTATTAGCATTATTTAAAGAACCACATCATGGTTTTGTATTTGTATTATTCTTCATTATAATTTTTATAGTTCTGTATATATTTAGCTTTTACGGACTTCGTAAATCTGCCAGAGTGTGATAATAGTATAATAGGAAAATAAAAAGAGTATAAAAAAAGAAACAAACTGTCATTCTGGGAGAGAGATACTCATCTCAGAAGTACATGAGTGTTTTACTTTAAAAAACAAGCTAGATAGGCCATTTTTTTTTATTAATAAAGTCTAAAATCACTACTAGGTATGGTTTAGAATGAGAGGGCTGTAACAGAGAACCAAAATAGTCTTCATAATAACGTGGTAGGAAATTGGAAGTTGTCTTCTGTCAGCTTAAAAGTGGGGAAGTTGGAAGAAAGTTGAAATCTGGAGAGAAAGAAATGGGAAAGGTCTCTAAGGAGGAGGAAAGGCCCATAGTGGGAGGGGTAAGCAAGTGAGAAATCCCTGTTCAGGTGCAGCAAAGGAACTTTGGGATACGGATGGAGTGTATCAAATTTTAAGATGATGCTTTCTCTGTTATGCCTTCAGTAAAAGGTGGTTGTACAAGAGCCTGGCATTGATGGTGCTTTGAGTGATGAAGGTATTGGGCCATGGGAGGACAAAAAGAGTGGAGCGATCAACCATGGAGGCAAGATACACAGTGAAGCTCAAAAACATAGGAGAGTAAAAGGAAATCAGGAGAAATATAGCCCTTGTGAAAATATTTGGAGACATCAGGAGAGACTGATTTCCCAATGGAATGAAGAATAGGAGCTCAGTTTATTAGGAACTTAGTTTGAGTATCAGATGAAAAAGTGACCCCAGAAGCCTTGAAGACCTAGAGTCATCCAGAGGCAACACTTGGACTCCATTATCAAGGAATTTGTACACTTCAGTTGAACTTAATTCTAAAAGACTTGGATATAGAAAATGTCTTCTTTTTTTCTGACTCAGTAAGTTAAGCTGAACTGGGTAAATAGGTTAGATTGAATAATATTAAGGAAAAGAAATTAAAAAGGAAAGAAATGGGGAAAAAAGAAGGTTTTATTTGTCTCCTTCATTGAGCTGGGAATTGTTTAAGGACTGGAATGATGTCATATTCATTTTTGTACCTCCTGCTTTTGGCGCAGTGGTTAGTATTTAGTATGACTGGCTGGAAGGAGGGATAGAAGGATGAAAGAAGTAATGAAAGAATAA